ACAACAAGTTAATTAACAAACAAGTCTCATGCTCCTCTGCCCTTTCTCTAGTCCTGATGACTGATGTATATTCCTGAGCTTATAATTCAAGCCAGATATATGAAAAGTGACCACAGATTTAGAGTGACTCAAGTTTTACCAGTCTGGGACATCTCTACCCTGATTTTCAGAAGGCTCCAGTTAAAATCATGGCAACTGTGTACCAGTAAAATGGCTAAGAATTGTCATTATCCAAGGTAAAAAAGTCCACATAGAATTAATTTAATTTCTACTTTCCTCTGTAAATTCTTCTGTAATTATCCTTTAAGAAGTCTCTCATATCTGTTCCTCAGCACTGGTGAGACTCAGTATATCAGGTCCCTAGGTCCCTGGTTTGATCAAGTCTGCCAAGTTCCTCAAAGGAAATAGGTGAGAGTGAGTGGCAAGGCATGAAGATGTCTCACTCCTTCAGGGCTAAGCAGAAAACTGTAAAGCACAAAGATGCTGAGAGGAGAAACTTACATCGGATTCCTCTGCCCAGGTTTGGCGGTTCTCTTCCATGCCACTCAGTCACCTTTGGAAGAAGTTCAGCAACATCTGAAGAGGATGGGAAAGCTAGCACCATGCATACATTTGGAGCAGTCCCAGTCCCGTCTAGTCCCAGCAAAGGGATCTCATTGGTGGCATTTAAAATGAGTACAGTTAAAAGCACGCAAGAAACAAAACCAGACTGAAATGATTCATGGAATGAAGCACGGAATGCATCCTTTCCCTTGCTGGTTTTTGTGCTTGTTGTTTGAAATAAGATCTATATTAGGCTCAGTTCAGCTATCAGAGTTATCAGAGTTTTTAGTCTGTAACAGTGCAAAAGTGAAGGCTTCTCTTCCAAAAGCCAAAGCACTTTCACTACAATTGCTGATTTGGTATACGCTCCTTGGGCAGTGATCTGAACAAATATGTTCACACTGCTTTTTTTTTTTGCTTTTTTTTTTTTTTTTTTTTTTTTTGACATCGTAGATGAATATTTTTTTCTTTTTCTTCCTTTTTTTTTTCTTTTTTTTTTTTTTTTCATGGGCACCATTGTATTTGGCAGCTACACAAAGATGAGTGTCTGGAAGTTGATTTTCTCTGCTGCTGTTCTCAGCAAAAGCTCCTTCCTCTGCAGTGCCCACCTGCTGCTGTTTGTTATTGCCACTGCAGATCTCTGTGGAAGGAGTGAGGGTCAACCTGAAAGGAACATATGTCCTAACGGAGCCACGAAAGCTCTGCAGGTACTAATTGCAGTGTTGTCTGATTCTCTGTGTACAAGGGGTACATGGTGCCATTTCTCTGCTCATCCCTATGAAATGGTTGGATCATCTCAGTCTAATTGCTGCTACTCAATGAAGACTGGATGCTGTGAAGGATCACAGGGTGACTTGCTGGATGCACACATCTACAGAGAAGTGAACCGATCAAAGGAGAACCACTGAACCACTAAACACTACTGAATATCCTTCTGTATCTGGTCACTGTGAAACAAGTCTGCTTCATAGGACATAAACCCTATGTTCAAGTTTCTGAGTAATAGGAAATGTTGCACTTTTCTGTGGCTTAGCAGAAAAAAGCTACAGTGGACACCAAAGGATTACCTTGGTTTTCTCTGTGCAATGCTCCTAAAGCTCTACTGCTGCAATATTTGTCATTTCTTAGCAATTCAGGGAAGGATGCAGGAAATGTTGTGGTATGAACAGCAAGGTTGGTAACTGCAGACATTGCAATTGCAGCAAGCCTAGTTCTTCAGTACATGGAACTTCAAGACAAGACAGTAAAAGGGGTGATGATAAGGCAGAGATAAAAGGGAGGATTGTCTTATGTAGGATAAATTGGGTTTAGCTATAAAGATAGCAACAACTTCACCTGGATTATTATTCTGCTGCTTTGTTAGTTCGTAGATTTCTCATCCAATTTAAAAGGGAAATGTGAAAAGCCCAAAGACTTGAATGAATCCTGCTGTCCCTTAAACCAGAAAATGCTAAATGAAGTAGGAAGCTGATCTTGGAGAGCAATCTGCTTAGATGAGTACAATCTAAAAGTGGAATAATCCCTGAGGTCTCTCATTTTGCTTGCTATAATTTGGGCAGAAAGCAATCACGTGTGAATTTTTCAGAGCTATAATGCGCAGGTGGTTCTGTCCTTCTGCCTGCAGTGGCAGTGAAGGTGGCCGTTCTGCTGTTCAGCAAAAGGGTGGGAGGTACAGAAGCTCTTTCAAAAACTCTACATTGCTGCTGAATATTTCTGAAACTGTTTTAGGATGATGGATAATTCTGAATACTTCCTCACAGCAGCATCTATGAAGAGGTAGAAATTGGAGAAATGTCTTCTGATTGTCTTGAGAGATAAGCTTCTTTTTCCTGTGTGTAAATGCGTATGGTTGGACAAGTCCTCACTAATACCTGAGGAGGATTCATTATAACTGGTTTTAATCCTTCCTGAGGCAGGAGGAAAAAGGTTAATTGCCTGGTGAGAGGCATTTAACTGGACTACAGACTGCTCAGAGCAATGGGGGAGGGAGGAATGGTCAGAATGGTCAGAATGGTCAGAATGAGAAGATGGGCTGATGTTTCACAGCTCTATTGTTCTTAGTCTGCTTATTATAGCCACTGATAACAGCAAGGTTGTGCTGAGCAGTTTGTAGAAACAATAGAAGGATGTTTTCCTTTCCCTCTGCTCCATCTCTGCAGCATATGCAGCTGGGAAAGTCTCAAGTGAGGTGAGGTGGCTTTGATAAAACTTTGCCAAAGTGTGTGTGGAAAACGAAGTGTTTTTAATCAGGGTGTGCCTCCTTGTGATATCACTTCAGTTCTCTCTTTTGAGATGAGGAGAACACCAAAGAGTTGGAAGTAAATCTCCATCTCCTTCAGGGAGACAGTAATGGACAGAATATTTCATTGGCGGTTCCTCTCTATGTCATTATTGAGAAACCTCTTGGGACATTAATATCGGGAAAGAGTGAGATGGTCTCATAACTGCTTTCCAGTCTCAAGAGCACATTAGTTGCTTTTAAGAATGTGCTAGGCATTAAGTAGATATCACCAAGAAATAAGAATACATTAGATTAATTAGGCACTATTCAGCAAACGTAAGGTAGGGAATTGCTCTGAATGTCTGAATTATTGCTGTGAGTCAGAGCTCTCACTGTATTCTCATGCACTGTACTTTGGTAGGGAGCTGTTTTCCTTTCACACAGGTAGTAGAGCACTGCCACTGCAGTTTTAAAGGAGCAACTGATAGTTGGAAAACTGTAATTAATCTGAAGAATATAGTCAATATCAGCAGGCTGATGCTGTTTTAGAAGTTAAGTGAGTAATGTGAAACTTTCCAGCACACAAAACTATTGTCTGAAGTTACTTATAAAAGTCTGTCTTAGGTTAGCATAAAGATGACTTTTTTTTTTTTTTTTTTTTATTCTTTTTGAGGAAGGAAATATTTTGCCATTATCTTTTGGATTCTGGAGCATAGCAGAATTGCTTAACTCCTGAGAATTTATTTGGATAAGGATTGATAAGCATTTCTTTTCATTCTGTGTCCTTCAAATCAGGTTCTTGCCCCCTTTATTTAATTGTAATTTTATTGTTATTGCTGTGTTTGTTGATAGACCACTCTGGTTCTATGAATTTAATAGTTGCTGCTGTTACACTTTCCCTTTCTGTAACATTCTTAGTCCACCGCTGCCAATTTAGTGGACCATCTTAAATCAATGTGGTGAGGCTCAGTCTTACAAAGTAATCATCTTCTCTTAGCTTTTTTAATCCCTTCTTATTATGAGTTCCAGGGGCTGCTAAAGGCTTAGACTGGAGCTGTGCCACAACCAGCACATAATTCTGTTGGGCCAGCAGTGCTCACTGTGTTTGCAGTCTAAATAGGTAAAACCAAAAATGAAAAAGAAAACAGATACCCTATCATTACAGAACTTGACCAAGGTCACAGAGCAGAGGCAGAGCTGTTAGTCGAGTGCCCCAATTCCCCAGTGACCAGCGATGCCCCTGTCAAACACGAGCGTGATGGTCACTGCTCTGTTGCTGCTTGGGAGCTTTGATACATGTAGGTGCATACTTGTCTGAGTATCCTCAGGATGTGTAAGACTGAATTTCTCAAGTCCGATGGAGAAGACAACGCATGATTATTTCCCAGTAAATCTGGAGGTGTAGCAGAGCAGTCAAGAGTGGAACAGCCATGACTCCACTGAGAAACATGACACAAAGAACTCACAAGAGAGAAAACAGGGTGCCTGGGTTTTGCTTACAGATCCTCCAGAGGAGCTATATGGCGAGATGTGTTCTGGTTTAATACAGATATCTGTTTTTGTGGAAGATAGGAAGGAATCTGTAGCCCTTGTGGTAAATGGAAAGACCTGCTCCAACTGAGGGAGAACATCACCAAGGCAGTGTTACTTTTTCTTCCATCTCTGATATAGAGTTTGAGGGTCCCGATGGCATTAGTAACAAGCTGTAAATAAAGACCGTAGCAGAGTTATGCTGCAGTCACGGCCCCTCTTTCCACAGAAACGAACACGCAGCCACAGCCAGCCTTTCTTCTAGCACGCTTTTTTTATGCTGAATTGCGACTTCCCGTTTGGAAGCCAATTTTTACAGAGAGTGTCCAGCAGGAGGAGCTCTTTCTCCATTTCGCTTCTCCGCGCTCAGCCCGCTGCTCCCCGTACCCCGCGTTGCTTTGTGGGCTCTGCACTTCCCTGGGCGGTGAATCCAGAGGATCCGTCCAGGGTACGAACGAAACACCGATTCTAGGGAATCTCTGCTACTACCGCTACCGGGCGCACAGCCCACGGGCCTCTACCCCAGCACTACCAGTCCCGACATGCCCCGCGCGCCGCCGGCCGTCAGGGCTGCGCGCCATCGCCGGGAGCGCAACCAATGGCGCGCGCGGGCCTCGCCGGGCGGCTCCGCCTCAGCGCGGCGGCCGCGGAGGGACTTTGAAAAGTTGCGAGCCGGGGCCCGGCGCTGTCGGACGCCCCACGGTTGTGGTGTGGTTGCGTGCCGGCGCGGCTCGCTCCCGGCAGGGCCGAGCCTCTGGTTGCCGCTGGAGCTCGGATGTCGGAGGGCGTAAAGCCGCGTTCGGGCTCCAGATGAGGCGGTAGTTTCAGGCTCTCCTGCGGCACCCGTGTCGTTCGGTGTAAGTCCGTACCGCTCCGTATGCATTGTGGGTGTTTCTCCCGGCCCGGGCGCCATCTGCGTGGCCGCCTGTTGCCCTCAAGCGGGGGCTGCGATGCACGGCTGGGTGCGGCCGTCCCTGTAAGGGCTGTTAGCGGGGCTCCCCCGGCACCCGGCCTTCCGCCTCTGCTCCGAAGGGGGCTGTGGAGGGCGGGCGCCTTGTCTCCATCTCGCGAACGAGCGAAGGTCTGCGCGTCTGCAAGGATGTAGGCGGTGTAGGCTGCTTAGAAAGCTTTTGGTTTCGCGTGAACTTCTGTGTGAACGAGTAGTAGGAATATCGCCTAATAAATACGTGTAGGATGTACTTGAAAGCCTGCTGGCGGGGTTGAGTGCAACCACGTGTGGCTCTGCTAGCAGGATGGTACAACTCTCCCCACAGAAAATGCACACGGCTGGGGGTCAGGGAGGCTTCACAGAGCAAACACAATCGCATAAGTTAGTCCTAAGGCTCATCCAAACTAAGCTACTCTTTAAAAAGAAGTCTCAAAACAATAAATAAACCTGAAGTGGCTTGTCTACATCACAATACCTCATTCCAGTGATGTGGGTTGTTTTGTTGTTTTTTTTTTTCTTCGCTGTTTTTAATTCAGTAATATTTGCATTGTAGTTCCAGTGTTCACAAACTTAGCTTTGACCTCTAATTTCTTTTATGCCATTGGTTAAGTAGAAGAGCCCCCTTTTAAGCAGAATTTTCTATAAACTTACCTAGAAGGTTATGAAATGGCTCTGAACAGTTTGTCTGTCTTGAATCTTGCATGCTAAAGCATGTTTCCAAACCTCTGGTTATTCTTTTGCCTCCATCCTGCATCCTTCCCATCCTTTGACATCTCTGTTGCATACCTGGTCACCACAAGTGTGTTGTATTTTAGCAGTTCTAGGTCTAAGTAAATCCTGTCATTATTGTTCAATTTTAGCACCTTGGGAGAATCTTCTTTCCTTCCGGTGCCATTTAGCACAAGGAGTTCCTTTTCAACTCACTGCTGAGTGGTTTTGGGCTTGCTTCTTGCTCAGAAGCCCATGTCATACAAGCAAGCACTGTGGTTTCTTTGTTCTTATTGCTGTGATCTCCTAATGATCAAATATTAGGAGATGTAATTAAACAGAACTGTTTTCTGTGTGGTAAGATTATTTTCTTGTGACTTAGGCTTTCTATACACGTATATCTTCTTTCCTACTCTTTAGTAAGGAAAGGGTGTAATTGTTTGCACAGGCGTGTTCCAAGCAGCCTTCAAAAACTGTTTTATTTGCCTTGTAGACCAAGTGAGTATGGCTGCTAAGAAGCTGAGAAGAGCAAATTTGTCTCAGGAGCTGTGTGAAAGACTAAGCCGCTATCAGATCACTACCTGCCAGGTGAAAGGGTTACTCTATGGCTTTGGATTACTTTTATTTTATTGAATTTCTATGTTTAATTTACATGAAGCTATACCATCTAATAAAATTTCTGGCTCAGTCTGCTTACCTTGTAAAAATGTTGCTTTAAGATGACGGATAGCTAAGGCATTTAAATGTTGGATATACTTAGTATCTTTCCTTCTGGAAAAAAAAAAAAAAAAAAAGATTATTTTAAGAGAGGTGTGTAGCTACTTCCCGTATGAAGTCAGCCTGCATGATCCCTCTGCAAAAACACATGTACATTACATAATCTAGCATCTATGAATGTGTTATGAAGCTATTCTATCAGTTATGGGTTGATTCATCAATAAACTCAGAAGTTGTTGTGTATGTTTCTTTAAAGAGAGGAGAGACTCTGTGCATTTCAACAGCATGTATAGTAGATGCAAGATCTATTCCTAGAATTGCAACCTAAAAAATGCAATGCAATTTGAATGTTTTTTGGGTAGACACCTCTGTGGGGGGGGAAAAAGATGATAACTCAGTAGAACTTCATCACGGTACTTACATTTTTAGTTTATGCTGTGTCTTTTAAAATATAAATACAATTTCTTCTGTGATAACCTGATGATCTTTGAGGTCCCTTCCAACCCAAACCGTTCTATGACTGTCTTATTGGCATAAGAGATGGGTAAAAGAGGTATGAGAAAACACTACATAACGTGGCACAGTTGGTAAATCTGGCCTTTGGAACGTATCCTAGTAATGTATAAATTGTATTAGTTTAGTCCTTAGTCTTGATCTCCCGGTTAAGCTCTCTGAACTGTTTTATCTTCTTTCAGGACTTCTTATGTCTTTCACTCTTGGAGCTAATGAAAGTGACAGGACAGAGCTACAGAAATGTGCAGAAGCTTCTTCGGAAGGTCAGCCTCGCTTGTGCTCCCAAAATGCAGACAGTAAGTATGCTTGTGTTGGTTATATTTTTAACTTTTTGTTTGAGAAAAAGCTAAACAGTTTTGCTTGTGTATTTATCAGAGAGTGGGGTAATCTAGCTTTGTGGTGTCTCAGTTTGATTGTATAATGAGATAATAGTTTTATGTCTAAATTTAGATCCATGAGTGACTTCAGTTTGAGATGGCAGCTTCTATTAGACATTTCAGCTTAAGGAGATTGTTTAGTCTTACAGAATTGGCCCTGAGTCCCATAGGGTAGTTTACCATTCTCTCTTACATTCCAGTGTATAAAAATTGCTTCATTTAAAGGAAGCATTTACTAATGGAAGCATGGAATAAGAATCACTGAATGAAGTCTTAGAGTCTGTGTTATTCAGGAAAATGAGACTGGAAGATTGTTTCCGTGGTTAATGTAGAAAAGAAAAAAAAATACACATATATGTATATATATAGCTTTGCAAATCCTCCTTCATCAGTGTCTATATTCACTCTTGAGTGCTTCAGAACATAAACTCTTAATGAGGTAAAATGTATTATTTGTTTTGGCATGTTCTGTGTCTTGAAAGCTATATTATTGTATTTGTCTTTAACAGAATAACAGCATGTATGGAAGATTTTGGAGAATTATCTAATGTGCTCACTCATAGAATAAGGAAAAAAACTGTAGTATGAGGAAGGAGAGAACTGTATAAAATTCAAGCTGTTCTACTCTGCTGGTAGAACTAGCTGAGAATTCTTCGGATGAACGTTGTAGAAGAATTGCTCACTCATTACTCAACAAGTGCGGACTAAAACATCTATGATTCAGTGGCATGGTGGTTTGTTGATGATTCCTGTGGAGATGCACCACAGTGCACTGTATTTCTAGCTGGCTGATGACATCATTGGGTTAAAATTGATGCTAGTATTTCTCTTGCGGATAGAGAACCCTCTTGGAATTTTAGGGGCCCAAAGCAAGCCTCACAGAATAGGAGTACTTTTGAAACATTGTTACAAAACTTAATGTTTAATGTTGTGGTGAATGAGGCACAAGAAACAAACTTACTCTGTGAATTGTAAATAAGATATAAGTCTAAAGAAGGCTAATGGGATGGGGTAGGGAGGAGAGGACACTGTAACTGAAAATTGGAATGGTTAGCTTACTTGCAAGTACTGAATCAATCTAGGCTGATGAAAGCAAATGTGAGAATTTCACAGCCTGAACCACTGATTGAGCACCTGAGGATAGGACCTGTAGCCCTGGGAGCACAGGTGAAGGCAATTCAGCTGTGACTAGAAGGGGTGGAACCTGGTTGCACCTCTCTTAGACTCCGTTTAGGGGCTGAGTGCCACTTGGGTAAGGATCTCTTTCTGGAGATCTCTCCTCTGTGGAGTCTTTCCTGTGAACCTATATCTTTGGATACAGGTGAGCATTCCTTCTCTGTTTGTTCCTTTTCCCATTTTCGTCATGATAATTTTTCCAGCTGTAACACCATCAAAAAAAGCATCTTATAACCTGTGCTTTTTTTATTGTTGCTTTTTTTTTTTTTTTTTTTTTTT